AAAATACAGGCGACATGTATGATATATGTCAAAAATCATTGAAATGTTTTGAGCAACCAATTAAAAATATATATATAAAAGAAAATACAGGTGACAAGCAAAAACAAATGTTCCTCCTAAACAGAGCTTCTGCAAATGGAGAAAATGAACAATATAAAAAACATGTAAAGAATATAAACTGGTAGTTCATAAAAAACACATGGCTGGGAGTGTAGCTCTGCTGTAAAGCCTGGATCTAGCATGCATGAGGCCCCAGGTTCAATCTCAAGCACCAAAATGATGAATGCCCAATGAACTTTGAAGACCTACTCAGCCCCAGGCACAATTTTAGAAATAAAAGTGAAAATGGGGTATCCACTTTTGTTCTGCGAGAATATCAAAAAAAGTTGATGCCAAGATTAATGAGGGGGAAACAAACTTCAAAATTGGTGACAGTATGCCTTTTTAGGAGACAATTTAGCAATATCTATGAAAATTCAAGTGTGATCCTATGATTATGCTGATACAAATTCATCCTGCAGATACACTACCTAGAAGAACAAAAATATACGTGTAATGAAGATGTTACAGCATTAGGTATAACCAAAGGGAAACAAGCCCAAGTGTCCATAATACTACAGCACTAATATCCATTCCTCAGAGCACCCTCCAGCTATCCTAATGAGATAGAAGCTGATCCATAGGTCTAACATGGAAAGAGTTCCAATATAGGAGGAAAAAGAACTAAAACAAGACCAGTATGCATTGTATGATTCCATTCAGTTTGATGCAGACGCAGGCATTAGATACACATACCAATCCATACTAACAAATGGCTAAATTTACTAATATGACCACAGCGACAAGAGTAATTACTTCTAATAATATTTGGCAATAGGTTTGGTAAGACCTTTTTATTTTGTCTTATCTCATGAAAGATATATGAAAGAAAACTGCTTGGGGCATGTATAAAATACAGAAAAAGACAGTAACTAGATACAATCACTAAATTTGAACTAGTGATATAAAAGGGGTAGTCCTAAGTATTCATTTTAACAAATATTTATTACTCTGGATAATCGTCTTTTGCAATGATTTCCTGTATTTTCGTGATTAGACGTCCTCTGCAATAATCCACGAAAATACCCACACATCTGACACATACTTTCACAACGTCCTGAGAAAATATATCTTGCTTGGATGTCAAATTACCCAAGAGCAATTTTATACACTCAGAATGCAGAAGCTCCTTGCACAGAACATAATGCATTTGAGGTCTCGGTTTTATTTAAGGCTCAGTAACAACAACTAGTCTTCATGAACTGTAAATCTGACTACTGTCTCCACAATGAAATCATCCACTCGAGCTTCTCAATGGGCCAATTAACAGCTGCCTAAATTGACAACAGGAGCGATAAAAGTATCTTTCCAGAATCAGTGCCCATAGCACCTGCATGCTTCAGTAGTCTACCTACAAGAAAATTCTATTTCTTTTGACCCGGGCTTTCGAATTTAGATGTGGCAGGACAAATATGAATTCCATTATTGTGGATAACTTTAAAGGTGACATGAAAAATATCTCCCCTGAAGAAAACTAACAGGACTGAAAGCAGCCATCCAGGTGGATCAGAAGCCCCCCCTCCCAACCCATGGTTACTTACCTTTGAATTTGTTTCCATGTGGTATTTGGCACAAGCTCGAAGCTGAGTCACCCAGAACTGCTTTTCTTTTGCATCAGCAGCTAAAATGGAGAAACAGATAAAGCAATGTGTGCAGAGATCACCCAACTTATTTCTACACCTACCCAAGAGCGTCTCCCAGCCCTCTGGGGGCCTGGCGAGTGATGGGGGAAGAAGGAGAAAGCAGAGGAAAGCAACTTCGAATCAGTGTTCTCCAGTGTTTTTGCAGCGATTTCCTGTATTTTCATGATTAGACGTCCTCTGCCATAATCCTTGAAAATACCCACATATCTGACACATACTTTCACAAGATCCTGAGAAAATATCTTGCTTGGATGCCAAATAAGGTGAACTTACACCAAGAACCAAGTCACACCAGATCACCACAGAAAATTTGCATTTGGACTACACTGAAAATGTAATCTGAAATATCTGTTATAAGAATAGGTTTGACAATTGTTCAACCTCCTCTTAAGTCCTTTCTACTTTTTAAAAGACAGCAGGGAAGGAGATGTGTGATTATTTTTAAGTGATTATGTGAGGCTCATATGAGCATTCAAGTACAACATTTCAGGGCCTTTTGTGATCCCAAATTGCACTATGGAGTCAGAAGCATTTGCAAAATGGGCAGTGGGTTAAATTACTATTATAACATGTTTTCAAGGATTCACATGATTGGACAGAATAAGACGCTAGATGAGATCCTCGAATTTCTCTCATAGACATTAATGGGCAATTCAACTGCATATCCTTCCAGCTATACCCCATCTCAAATAATATATATAATTATTCTTTTTTTTTAATTGTTGGTCGTTCAAAACATTACACAGTTCTTAATACATCATCTTTCACAGTTTGATTCAAGTGGGTTATGAACTCCCAACTTTACCCCGTATACAGATTGCTGTATCACATCAGTTACCCTTCCATTGATTGACATATTGCTTTTCTAGTGTCTGATGTATTCTGCTGTCAGTCCTATTCTCTACTATCCCCCCTCCCCTCCCCTCCCCTCCCCTTCTCTCTCTACCCCTTCTACTGTAAATCATTTCTTCCATTTGTATTATCTTGTCTTACCCCTCCTTTCCTCTTATATATCATTCTCACTCCCTTTCCCTCCCACCTCTCATCCCTGTTTTATATAATTATTCTTAAGTGTCATGGGTGTGAGTTCTAATAAAATCTAAGTCAATCTGACTACAAATATTAACTGCATAAATGTTGTTTATGATCAAATTATTAACTTCATAGTTATTGACCATGCCAAAAAAAAATGATTCTCTTGGAAATTACACTCATTTACAGAAGTGGGTCTGAGCCATCATTTGGTCAACCAAAACAGACTTCAGGTTCCACTTTCAGGTGAAGAAATCCAGAGTTACAAAAATGGGAAATTCTTTGGCCACATAAGTCATGGTGATGCCTTTAGTCTGGAGGCCTATGTCACACATGATGACCAGAATAAGACCAGGTGAAACTAACTCCCGAAGACAGGTGAAACTAATGCCCGAAGACAAAGGAGGTACTGACAGAGGCTTACCATCGAAAATATTCCCAAAAGCTCACAACACTGTGCTCCCATTTTGTTGCAAGTGGAAGAAATGTGAAGTGAAAAAACGGACAGCTAGCTCCTCCGGGATGGGCCCAGGATAAGCCATAAACATGCAGAAGTTTATCCTGCCCCTTTTGTAGTTAAGTTTTAGACAAAATTTAGTGCTCTGTGACTATTCCATGCAGATAATAAAACTTTTACGTTTGCTATTAAAAATCGCCCTTTAAAAAAAAAAGGTAGAGTTTAATAATCCACAGAATATTAGCAACTCGATGGCAAAACGAGATGGCTCAATTGTCGAGTTACTTGGATGTTTCTTTTGTATGGATTTGTGTCATTCTATAAACCACAGGCGGGGTGGGGGAAGTGCCATTAAGTTTTTCACCTGATATTGTTTCTGCTCTGACAATTTATTAAGCAATAAACGGCAAAGCGAAGCCAAGGACCATATAAATCTAGCCAGCTGGAATGCACGCTGCATGAATCTCCAAAGATCATGAATCTTAGCACGCCCCGCCCCCCCAAATAAAAGTATAAAATAGGGCTGAGGATGTGGCTCAGTGGCTGAGTGTCCCTGAATTCAATCCCCAGTATCCCCCCCCCCCCCAAAAAAAAAGAGCTTTCTTCAACTACAGGCATTTTTATTTCATAGGCTTTTGGATTGTTTTATAGATCCTGAAATAGGATTTATATAGAGATAATAAAGAAACATTAGCTTATTTCATCTCTTGGGTAGTAAAGCCTAGAAGTGGAAAAGTGAAAACTAGACCAAGAGGTAGTGAGTCTAGGCTGGCTTTGCAGAGGTGACAACCTGTCGTGGTCAAGGACAGATAAGAGGCTGTGTCTTGGTACTTGGCTCATATTTTCGTGAAGAAAAATATTACTTTAAAAGGCAGACTTATCAGCTGCCCCATATCTGATACTTCCGACCCTTCCTTGGGCCTTAATCCCACACATGTGCGTGCATGTGCACGCACCCATGTGTGTGTGTGTTTTTTTTTTTTTTTTAATTAAAAGAAAACTAAGACAAAGCAGAAATCCAGACAGGAGAATCATGGCAATGTAACCCTAACAGAATCCTGGTAGAAAGGCCGGGCAATCAAATTACACTACTGCAATCAAGTCTGGCATTTCAGCGATCAATGTGCCTCCAGGCAGAGCTGGACTCCCTGGACAGTCATGCTCGTTCCTGAGGTTGCCCAGCAAACATCAGTCTTCAGGAGGCGAAGAGCAGGCAAAAAAGCACACAGAGGGAAATTAACACCAGCAGGCTCTATTGCTACCATGGATTGAATAAAACTTGAAATAAAGGGCTCTTTACCAAGAGAAAGTTCAGGAGAAACTTTGGGAGGACGATACTCTAGCCCTTGAAAGGCTGGGTTTGGGGTTAGGGTTGTGGCTCAGGGGTAGAGCGCTTGCCTAGCCTTCGTGGGGCACTGGGTTCATCCTCAGCACTGCATGAGTGAAAAAATAAAGGTCCAGTCAGCAAAAAAAAAAAATTTTTTTAAAGTTTTGTACTCATAGCACAGCCCACAAAGGGCACTAGAGTGAAGATGTGTACTATGGGGGCAAAAAAAAAAAATAGACATTGAGGAAATACTAAGTATTCAGCAATCCTAAGCCTCTGCCACCTCTGTAAACGCCACCTCTCCTTTGTCCTCAATTCCTCAGTTAATTAAAACAAGCAATTCCTAAGGTCAGCTCCACCTCCCTAGCCCAGGGATAAGAAGGGCAGTAACTGTCAGAGTCCTCCAAACCCAGTAAATCATTAAAGGCGATTAAATAGAGCCATCACCATGACAACTATAAAGTAACCCACAAAGCCTGAAAAGTCACTAGAAGCACGTACCTCTCAGTTTATACATCTCCCCATTAGCAGAGTACACGACCAGCATGTGGGGAGCCTCATCGCTCAGGGATACGATGGCTCCGGATAGAGACAGGGCTCCTCGAGGCTTCTGGTGCTTGCTTTGTTCATTTACAAAATACTGCAGGATGCCAGCCTCAAAATCCAGCACAAAGTACCTGCAAAGAAACCACGGTGCATCATTTTTCTCTTCCAGTCTAGTCTACACAGCACACAGTGGGGCGGTGGGGTAAGGGGAGTATACAATCCTGAAGTTGACATCAATGCTCCAAACCCATGAAGTTGCAGACAAAAGTTCCTCAAAGGGCCCCACAGAAGTCAAGTGGCAGAGAACCCTGGATTCTCATGTCAGAATGGACCCTGTAAAAGGGCCCAGTGGATCAGGTCCATTCAAAACATGGTACAACTCCCACGGCTTCAGCTGGCGCCATGGATACCACATTAAACCTCAGAATGTCAAAGACTAGCAGCAGCATTGCAGCACAGCCTCACAACATGCTCCATGTGACTTCAGAGGAACAGCTGGGATCCAGAAGGCCCCAAGAGCAGTGGTTTTATACCCAGGAAGCAGCAGCAAGCGGGGCCTCCACTTCCAACCAGCAGTGAGTGTATCGGGAGGAACCAGAGTATCTGGCATCATCCGTCAGGGAATTGGAGGGACTTCTACAAACACCTGCACATACTTCAGGCCCTCCCATATATGCCTTTTAACAAAGAAGGGGAGAACATCCATAGTAAGAGATGGGGAACTGAAAATTGCCCAAGTCATACATCAAATCTTTGAAGCCAGACATCTGACTTGATGATTATTCTCTCAAACCAGGTGTGGTGGCACACACACTGTGATCCTGGTGGCTCGGGAGCCTGAGACAGGATGATCATGAGTTCAAAGCCAGCCTCAGCAACTTAGCAAGGCCCCGAGCAACTCAGAAAGACCTCCTCTCTAATAAAAAATGGCTGGTGATGTGGCTCAGGGTTAAGTGCCCTTAAGTTCAATCCCTGGTACCAACTTTTTTTTAAAGGAGGATTATTCTCTCAAGCTGTCACCTGCTAAGTAGTAAGACAACTTCCCCTTCTCCACCAAGATGGAAATGCCTTCAACTGGGACTCAAATTCTTCCTGCAGCCTAGAGACCAAGCACAGTGCCCCCTGGCTTTTCTTCCTCTCCCCTTCTGCTCCAACCACACTGGGCTTCCCTTCCCTTTTTCCCCCAAGACCTTTGCATACCCAGTTCTGCCTGTCGGAAGCAGTTTCTCAAAGTGTGGTCAACAAATTTTGCAGGTCCACACAAACGGACACTAGTGCACAACGGCTTTTTGAAACTTTCCTGCATGTGGCTCCCCCACCCCCATTCGGTATGATCAGTCGATTTGGTCTCCGACTAGCTGAGATGTCAAACACATGCTGCTACTTATTAGTCACTAGTCACAGGCATTCACAGTACCTACGGGAGGAGATCCTTCACCACAGGCAGGTTGAGAGACACCTGCCCAGAAAGAACTTCCCCTTCTTACAATATGTTCCCTCCTTTTTCTTGCCAGGCTAACTTTGAGATCAGATATCCCTCTTCATAGCACCCTGAAATTCTGGTTGTGGAAGTCTACCTTTGTGTCAATATGATTCAATGTCTAGCCTCTGGGTCCCCACCCCAGTACCCAGCACAGCACCCGACTTCACTCCATTACTATTGGTTAAAGAAATGAACAACTTCCTGAATTCCACATGTACTGTAGACCTGAGCCATGCAGTGACCTCAGACAGCAAAATATTTCACATATGAAGAACACCTGACAACACAGGTCAGATCCTTTCCACACTAACTTGGGTAGTTCTCAGTTTCAATATCAGATTGCATTATATTCCTTTTGACCACATCCTATCTTTGTAAGATGTTTCAGCATTTGCTACAATAGAGAAACACTGGGGGCTGGGGGTATAACTCGGCAGTAGAACTTGCACCTCACATGCATGAAGCCCTGGACCAATACTCAACATGAAAGGAAAATTAATGTAGAAGACAGGAGTTATGTTCAATATAATTCCAAGGTTTGAGCACCCATGCAGTGCCCACAAGTGCACACATTCCATTGATAAGTAATTGTAGCTAAGAAAGGAAAAAAGTTTTCCTCCAATGTTTTTCAAAGGGCTACCAAGTTTTTAGTACAAAACTCCATCCAAATGTATGCCTTAACTACTTCATAAATAAGATTTATGGTGAGATTTCTTTTTAACCTAGAAACATGGCTAAGAAAGTTTACAAACTTCCTGCCTTATTTATTTTGATCATGACCTAGAAGACCAATGTACAGATGCCCAAAGATGCAAAGAAACTTGAAATCCAAGCCCAGCTCATCTGCATCCAAATTCAGGGCTTAGCCCACTGTGGTAATTGCAGATGCTCCCTTATCTCCCAAGTACCTCTCCAGCCTCTACTTGTGTACTGTATTCCCCTAACTTTCCTGCTGCAACACAGCCAGTAACACTCAATGCCTCTGCTGCCAGGCACAGGGGCTCTTCCTCACCCTCCTGTTCCCATGGAGCAAGGAGCAGCCACCTCCTAAACACATGAGCACCCAGTCCTCAATCCTCCAAAACTTCTCGTCTTTAAGAAGTCTTCCAATTGTAATTATTTTTAATAGTCTGGATGACCTGGCCAAGATGATCTATTTCACTTCTCTCCTTCCCTCTCATCTCTCATGTCACTAATACACTTCTGGTTCTCATGATCAACACGTATAAATCAAGACATAAAAATGTATCATAAACTGGGACTATTAAAATGGGATCCCTAGCCCAACAGTAGCCTCATCACCCTGGAGCTTGTCAGAAATGGAAGCCGAGGCTACACCCAAAACCCCCAGCACAATCAAATGCTGGGGGAGAAGCTGAGGAAGCTGTGCTTTCCAAAGCTTCCAGGCCATTCTGATGCAGGTAAAGTCTGAGAAGCACTGGCTAAAAACGACCATCACCAAATCCCTTTTTATTCTTGTGGTAGACATTGACGAAATGTTCCAGAACAGGGTTTGAGCTTTAGCCAACAGAATGCAAGCAGAAGCAATGCAGGGCTGGCTCATAAAAATCTCAGCTCCAGGTTCGTGTCTTTCTACTTGAAATTTGCTTCTATTCTTCAACAGAGGGTGAAGACCAACTCCAAAGATAGATGAACCAGGTTAATTTCTGAGCTGCCAACGGTCAAGGTAGGTGCTAATGCCTCTCTAGGAGGAAATGCTTTCAAGTTGACCTATAGTTAACGTCACCAGGAGTGTGGCTATGTAGACAAGTCACACCATTAACCACAGTCCTTAAAGGCGCAGGAACTTTGGCACATAGTCTCCCCCAACACGGGGTGGTGGGGGGAGACACAGCATTCCCATGAATGAGTGCTGCTCTCACGCTAGGGGAAGTAGAACAGAAGGGGATGTGTGTTCAAGGAACAGGCAGAACCGACTTGCTCTCGACTGCCTCGATTTCTCTGTGCATTGTGCCACTAATTGCAATGAAGGGAAGACAATCTCTCTCTGCTTCCTCCTCCCATCAACCCCGCCATGGAAGCCTGGCAGCTAACCAAGCACATCCTGCACAAACAAGCAACTCCATTTGCAAAGGATATCATTCAAAAGCTGCTTTGAAGAAATTAATTGAATGTTTTATTTTTTCAGAAAGGATGGCAGAATAACCAATTGATGTCATTGTGCAGGATATGGGGACATATTAATGATTTTTCATATTACCCATTTCAAACTGGCATCTTAATTCCAACCTCCTGCCTCAGATGTGGAGAGGGACCGTTTCCACTTCTTCCTAAAAATAGTTTAAATGCAAATGCACAAATCTGAATCGTGCATCCTAAGGAAGGTCATCAATAATGTACTGCTAAGGACACAAAATTTCATCATATTTGGAGAAGAGCATGGGGTCCTGTCTGATTAAGAACCACAACACACTACACAAAGTGCTCTCTCAGCACAGCCTTTGAAAGTTCAGTCAGCTCCAGGCAGACAGGTAAGAACTGCCTAGACGGCATTCAAAAGAGCAATTCCTGTTGGTCTGCATCCCCTGGGAGGAAACAAATTAAGTTTGGCTTCCCACCGGGTCACAGCTCTGTCTGCTTCCTGCTGGTTGGAGCCTGCAGCTTTATCTAAAAAAATCACAGCTTTCATTCTAAATAGGAAAGTTAACCATATTTCTAGATTAGGCTTCATTAAGCCGAATAAAACTGCTAGATAAAATCCTGCAACAATCTTAAAGTCTTTCCCTTCTAGAGGGAAGAACAAGGCAAACCTAACTTCCAGGTTCTGTTATCTTTTTAAATTAGCATCTTTGCACTGTAGTGTGCAACTTGACTCCTATGTAGGTGACCTTAATTGTGTACAGAGTTTTTTGTTATGTGAAATGAAAAATCAAATAACGTGCTGGGTAAGAAAGGGGGGGAGTCAACCCCATGAATAAAGTGTCAGTTTAGCTCTACAAAGTCCCCCAAAGGCTCAGATGTTGAGGGCCTGGTCCCCAACTGGTGATGCTATGGGAAGGTAAAGGGAATGTTAGGAGGTGGGGTCTAGCTGGAAGAGGTGGGTCACTGGGACTGTCTTTAAAGATATATTTGGTCCCCAGCCCCTAGCTCTCCTTCTCTGCTTCCTGGCTTTCATGAGGCAAATGGCTTTCTTCTGCCACAATCTTCAACCATGATATCCCACCTTGCCATAGCCTGAGAGCAATGGAATCAACTGGCCACAGACAAACCTCTGAAACCATGACCCAAAATAAAATCTTTTCTCCTTTGAGTTTTTTTTCTACAGGTATTTGTTACAGTAATGCAAAACTAATACAGAAAGCCACTTTAATCCAGTTTCTTGATGGCACCCCTACCTAATCCCAAGCTGGGAGCTTTGACAGGGGGAAGGACACTTCCTGGGAAAGGCTCTGGAAAAGCTATTGAATAACTAATATCCTTTAACCAATTCTGTTCCTTTGCAAAGAAAAGGAAGGACACACACGCACTCACATCAACTCACATTTGCAATATGTGCCCTCTCACTGGAACTCACAAACACCTACCTATACATGCTCATGCTAGCACACGCTTACAAACTAGCTCTTGCACACTCATGCATCCACTCACACTCACTCACACATGCGTTGGCTCACAACTCCCACAGAG